TTGTTTTCTTTAGCTTTTATTTTTCATAGGGCCTTCAGACCACTGTCTTTAAATTGGAATCTGTGGGTTTATTTTTTCAGAGTACCTTGATTTTCTAATTCTAGGAACTCTCTCCTGTAATTGCATCCGACTTAAGTGTAGGTGTATTTGAGACTGAATAGTTCTTTATAATAAAATATGTTTCATTACTTTTATTAAATAGTAAAGATCTATTAACATAAAAAAAGGGAGTTGACGGAGTTATTGGAAAGCTTTAGAAAATAGAAAAGCCGAATCAAATAATTTAAAAGAAAAGTTTCCTGCAGTAAAAAGGGTGACACAGAAATACATTACACAATAGACCTTTACAGAATGAGCAATAGAAAAGAACATTTTAAAGAACAGAACTGAAGAAACTACAATTTTCAGAAAAGTTTGCATGAAATTAAATAATAAGAGGCAGCTGCAGAATCTCAATGCCACTTCAAGGCTGTTTCTGTTTTGGAATTAACAAACAAGGGCTGTGGTTGAATGAGGGGTGGGTGACTATATGCGAGCTCTGGACTATTCAGAAGGTAAAAATGCTTAACATAGAGACACAGACACACTTCAAAACATAATTTAATGATTACCCGTAGACTTCTTGGGCAAAAGGTTAAGATAATGATGGCACACTGAGTATGCAGTGAATAAAATACAAAAAAATAAAAAAAGGCTTTGTTTTGTCTCTTGTTTAATTTTGCATTCTTCTCAGAATGAGTGATATTTTCTGATTTTAATTCATCACATGTTGTTTTTTATTTAAACATTTTATACAATTCAGTTAATTTATTCATTGGCAATCCACAACAAGTGCCACCCCAAGGCACTCCACACAGAACGCCCAAGTGGTTCATAGTTGGACTGGTCAAAAGTTTTTTATCTGAGGAAAACCAGTTGATTGCAGGAACTCATTGACTCTGCAGTCCCTCATACCAAGCATGCATGCAGCAACAGTGGACAGAAAGGAATCTCAAGTGGAACCAGTCTCATATATTGACATGAATTAAATAAGTTCAGTGGTGCTGGGGCCCTGGCAGAAGACTCTGATGCTAAGGATTAAAAGGTTGGCGACAGTGAAGATAAATGTTTGAGTGTGATTAAGCTGACCGATGAATAAAGACTGAACTGATGATGGAGATGTTGTGGTGACCTTACTGATGGAGAGACTGTGACAGCACAGAAGATGAGACTGACAAATACCTGAGGGGAGGAATAGAGTAGTCTTCTCTCAAAAGAGGCTCAGGTGACGATTGCAAAAGAGTTGCGCTGAAGAAGCGCTGAGTGGTGAAATGTGCTGATGGGAAGAGAGCTGGCAGAGCACTAAGTTGGAACAATATGCGCCGACGATTTATAGTATTAGTCTTCTCTGCATTAGGGTCCTCCAAAACCTCCCCTCAACCTGAAAAGTAGTAATTAGCTACATTTACTCAGCTGCATTTGTCTAATATTTTTCTTGACTAAAATGTACTTTTATTTGTTTTATTTTACTTTTATTCTCCTGTTAGTGCTTTTTACTTTTACTTTGGTAATATTACTATAAAATATCACTGAGTACCTGTACAGGATAAAGAATAAAAATATTTTACCCTAAAATGCAGCAGACACAGACAGCTCAAGTCTCACTAGAGTTAGATTTTTTATTTTATTTTTGCTGTACATAATCTTTTTTGTTTGAATGTTAATTTGATCTGATAAGACTTCTATCACACATGTGAGTTCAATGTAATATACAGTAAAAAAATGTTGTTCACCCTGTTATATCATAAATCAATGAGAAACTGTAATAAATGGTTTGATATGTTTTATATAAAAAATGATTGGAAAAAGTTTTTATTTTGGCCTGGGGTCATGTTTCAAATTTGTATCACTTCCCTTTAGTCTTTAAAACAAAATAAATGTGAAAAATACCTTTTATATAATTGTTCTGCTTACATAATTTTAAATAGTAAAACACAGTAGCTTTTTAAAAAATACTTGTTAACCTTACCAAGCGAAATCTCTTAGATGGTTACTTTTTTTTACTTGTCTAGAAATATGTTAAAGTAGTGCTACTTAATTAACTTAGACAAACTTTAATTTTGTACAGGTCTCATGACATTTCCAATGTCTTAAAGTGCAACAGTGATCAAATGTAAACATGGGGAGAAAAAAAAACATTGGTGCACAAAATAGCATTGATATGGTCAGTTTGATGCAGAGAATGTGACATGATTAAGAGGTTGGTTTTTCAACATTTAGCATCAGTTTTTTTTCCCCCATATTTAGCTGTATGTAAGAAAAAATTATTGTATCTTTACCCATCTTTGCTGTGTAAAAAGCTAACTGATAAAATAGGGAACTTCATATAAGCGTATTAAGGTAAAATTGAATGGAAAGAACTGATTTTCCAAATTATCATCTTTTGTAGAATCAACAACTTTTAATAGCTTATAAATGTTATTTCTACAGCCCCAATCATTGACTTAACATAGTACTTAAAATAATGGATGGTTAGGGGAAATAAAGTTTCACAAGTAAAAGGGATAACTCTGTCTCAGAAGTTATAAGAATAAAAATCCAACCTTATTTTGTTTAAGAAATTCACGTGGACTGCAGTTGGAGTTTCAATAGCTATTACACATAAAGACATCAAAGACTTGGACATCAACCAGCATATTCATTATGTGAACTCTAGAACCACAGGTTGGTAAAGCAATGTTATGCTAACTTAACTTCAACTCCCACATCCGTCATCTTTCTAAAGTCTCCTTCCTCCATCTCAAAAAAATTGCCAGACTCCGCCCCTCCCTCTCCCAACCGGATGCTGAAAGGTTGATCCATGTCTTTATCTCATCAAGGTTGGACTACTGTAATGCCCTCCTCTTTGGGACCTCTGGTAAAAACCTGCAAAAGCTCCAGTACATTCAGAACTGTGCTGCCCGGGTCCTGATGAGGAGGCGCAAATACGACCATATCACTTCTGTTCTTAATTCACTTCATTGGCTACCGATCAAACATAGAATACATTATAAACTCTGTCTGCTTACCTATCAATGCATCCATGGAGTTGCTCCTGCCTATCTCAGTGAACTCCTCTCATCGCACGCTACTTCTCGAAGGCTTCGTTCCTCCACCTCCTTTTACTGCCTGCATCAACCTAAGACCAAACTTGCCACTATGGGGGATAGGGCTTTTCAGGCAGTAGCTCCACGGCTCTGGAATGCCCTTCCAGAGTCCCTGAGAGCCCCACAAGGTGTGGAGGCCTTTAAAAAAGGTCTTAAGACTCACCTTTTTAAACAGGCCTTTTAGAACTGTAAGTTTTGTTTTAAATTGTGGTTTTAATTGTTGGTTTCAATTGTTGGTTTTGGTACCACTTGGTGCGAGATGTGTTGCTGTGGGCCCTACAATTTATTCTTTATTTTTTATTATTACTATTATTATTATTTTTATCTTTTTTTTTTTTTTTTTTTTTTTTTTTTAATCTCTGTAGCACTTTGAGATTAAATTGTAGTTTTAATTGTTGGTTTCAATTGTTGGTTTTTGGTGCCGCTCGGTGTAGGATGTATTGCTGTAAGCCCTACAGTTTGTTCTTTGTTTTTATTATTACTATTGTTATTATTTTTGTCTTTGTTTTTTTTCTTCTTCTTTTGGTCTCTGTAGCACTTTGAGATTTCTTTGAAATGTAAGGTGCGTTACAAATAAAATCTATTATTATTATTATAACTTATTTAAGACAGTGGTCATTATTTAACACTAAGACAGAGTCTGGGGGAAAAAAAGACATCCATGGAGGGCTAGAAACCACTGGGGACCGGGGGCAAACTGATAATAGTTTTACATTTGCAAACAAACATCTTGATCATTCCCATGACATTTAGCAAAATATTCAGCTATCTCTTCATAAACTTATTTCAGGTTTGCTGTGGTTACGCAGCAGCCGTGTTCACTAAACCACAGAGTGCATACAATATTAAACAACCCCATTAAAAAAGAACATGTGGCTTAGTGAATATGCAGAGTTGAAGATGTAATGGTATGGTCTTAGACAGACTGCTTAAACCCAATTTGGCTGAATAAAAACATTTATAGAAGAGCCCAAACGTATTTCATTGTAACATGAAAGACTCATTTCCAGGTGGTAGTGTCCCTGTCAGAAAAAAAAAACTAAATTGGATGTAGGAGCAAATCTTAGCACACCTTGCTTTTTTCATATATCAGAAACAGAAAGAGTGACACATTTATTTCACCTCAGAACAATTAGTTAATTTATTTACATTTGGATAAAACTACCCATGTGTTCTAGTTTTAAATATTTTCTAATCTGTATTATTGGGATTCCCTGAGAGTGGCAAATATGTCAGAGAGGCCATAAAGGTAGAATGGTTTTTATTCCAGCTGAAAGCTCCATTTGGATTAAGTCTGTGAGCAGATGCGCTGTGGCCCCGCGCATATGAAAAAAAAAAAAAAAAATTAATCTATATGTGTTGTTTGTGATATCAACGGCACAGTAAAGCAGCTTTGGTGCGCAGCCTCTTTGCGCCTCATGGTACGATCATCAGAATATCCAGATTATGCTTTTTTACACTCTATCTTGCTGTCTCTCTCTCTCTCTCCTCCGTCTGAAAGCTACAGGAGCATCAGCGGAGGAGGAAACTCTGCCACTTCTCGCCTGTAGGTGGCGCTCAGAGCGAAGGAGTCGGTGGCTCGCTTTCCTCTCTGCAGTCGGACAGAGATGTAGGCAAAGCGGTTGCAGGGCAGGTGATGGTCCGGTACCATCTCTGAGGCAGCGCGTGTGTTCACTATCAAAGTTTATAAGCTGTAAAGTTGAACGTAATATACCTCAAATCATACATGATAAAAAAGAAAGGGGGAAAAAAAAGAAAATTTTTTTGGGAAATCCATGAAGTTGATGAAGAGGATGCACGCTCCGCCTCCTCCACTGTGATGGGGGGAGTGTATAATGAGTGTATGGGTGAGGGAGGGGGGGGAGTAAGAGCGTTAGAGAGAGAGAGGAGAGGGAGAGAAGCGCGAGCGCACTGCTTTGGATTCACTCCACTCTCTCATCACTCACGGTGCAGCCGCGCGACCCGCACCTTGCTGGACCGCGTGAGGACCCGAACCAGACCTGAGGGAACCGGACCGAACCTGCGCTACACGCACCATCAACTCGGACCTTTTTTTTTTTTTTTTTTCTTTACACTTTTTTTGAAGTGTTTGGAAGAGAGAAACGGGTGGGATTCTTCTCCCGTCCCGGTGGTGCGTCCACATCCAAAACCTCCCGGTCCATCATCCCTCAGTGAGCGGAGGATGCAGCCTTCAGGGGTCAGTCAGTGAGTCCGGCTGCGCCTCAGAGGAGCGCTGGTCACGACTGACACAAACTGAGAGAAACTGGAGGAATAACTATTGGATTCTTTGATTCACATCTGAATCTTTTCCTTTTATATCGCTTGTCTGTCATGGTTGTTTCCTCCACCTTTTAAAAGTTATTTTGTTGTTTTATTACAACCTCGTGGATTTTTTTTTATTTTTATGAAGCATTTTTTCTCTTTCCTGGAGCGTCTGCGTCTGGATACAGCGGAAGAGCGCGTTTGTTTCCGACATGGGAGCGCTCAGAGCTGGGGGCTGTAACACTTCCAGGTAGGAACTTCTCTACAGTGTGAATAATTCACCTGTTCCCTGGTTCAAATAAACCTCTCTAAATACAACTCGTGCGTCCAAGACGCGTTACTTACCAGCACCGCTCCGCGCGCTCTCACTTTCTGTTCCATTTAGCCCCGAATGCGCACTTGTGCCTTAATTAAAGAACTGACACTCAGCAGGGAACGGATCTGTTTTTATTTTTTCCCCCCAAACACTTGTTGTTAAAAAAGAAAAAAAAAAGCCTCAATGTTCTCCGTGTAATTTCCTCTGATGGCTACTTTACGTGTGTTACACTACAGAGCTCATTGATCCGTATCGATCTGCGTCCTGAGGATTACCTCCATGTCTCTCAGTAATAAAGCACAACTTCCTCAAGCTTTAACGTTTCTCAAACTGGAGGAAATCTATAGTGAAAAGAAAGAAAAATGAGAAAAAATAGTTTTTTTTTGTTTTCTTTTTTTTTTTAAATCAAGTATTTGTGTCTGTGGAGTTTTATGTTTTTCATTTAATGCAACTGAATAATCCATAGAGCCAGAGGTGCTCATAAACTCCAACCTCATATCTCTGTGAAATCCGAAGGGGCCCCCCAGAGCACCTGTGGCGTCACATCACAACCTGTATTACTGCTCTGCAAAGAGAGGCGGCCAGTTTCACCGACGAGGAGGAGAAGCAATGAAACATGCTGTGTGTCATTTGCTGGGAATCTGGTCCATCCTGCGCGTCCAGTTTTCAGTCTCTTCTACCTTTTTTTCCCCTCCTCTGCTGTGTTAGAGGGAGAGAAAGAAAGAGGGTGGGCGTATGTATTGCTGATAGAGAGAGAAAGAGAGAGAGAGGGGGGGGGGTCGTATATTTACATGCAAAGCGCATCTGCCTGGCACACACAGAGAGCAGAGGCAGCGAACTCTACCGTCAGCTGCGGTGCCTTTGAAATTGCCCAGGTACCCACCCCTTCACATGGATGTTATGCCTTCCTGTGCATGACCTTTGACCCCGTTTCCTCCTTCATCTCGCCCCCCCTTTTTTCATCTTTCACACAGGCTTCCGGCGCTTCTCTCCACATCCTTAAACATCCTCAGATTCAGCTCCAAGGCCAGGCAGGGGTAGAGCTGGTCCAGCAGGGCTGTGTGCATGAAGATCAGGGGAGTGTGGAGCTGCTGAAGGGGTGGGGGTTCCTCAATCAGGAACTATTTAGAAAAAGAAAATTGCAATCATTTTGTCCATTATTGTGATTGCATCACATTTTCCCCGCTCTTCTTCTTCTCTCCATCATCATCCCCATCTCGGCAACTAAATTCTGTATTAGGCGTGGGTATTAACTCCTGCATCAAGTGAATGCACTGCAGTTAAAAATGTAACGGTGTGCCATATTGCACAGGGCTATTGTTATTTGACATCTTTTGTAGCTGTTCTGTTAAAGAAATAAACATCTGATGGCTTTTTCTTAAAGTATTGAACACAGAGTGTCTCATCTGGACATCTTAGTGATGTTTTTAGTTATGCATACAGCCTTAGCAGCCTCCAGCAAACTGTCTAAACAGAGACAGAAGGTCCACACAAACCTCTGAGGTTCAGAAAAAGCCGCAATCTTTGTGTTGTGTTTCCCATATTCGCCGCTGCAAACTGATATTTAATCCTTTGGAGCCGTGGTGAATGTGAAGATACTCTCAGTGAGGTTTGCGGCTGTTTTGGACGATGGTCCTGCCATCATTTGAGCTCCTCCCGACGCGCCACTGTCTTGTGGCAGGGTGAGGTTTAAGGTTAGGATAGCAAGCTCTGATTTGGAGGTGGGCCGTTCCTATTCTGTCCACTTAAACAGCGTCATGCTGATTCCTTTGGCTCTGCAAGTTGCATCGAGGAGAAAGAGTAATGCAGAAACAGGTTGAGCAGTCCGTTCTCTACGTGTTTGCATGAAAATCGTAGATTTAAGGGAGCCTTGTGGTTAATGGGTGCCATTAAACTGGGAGCTTGATGTGTGGAAATTGGCTTGGTCTGTCAGATAAAAGCTCTGGGAAAAAAAAAAAAAAAACACACGCACACACCCTTTTTTTCTGGTTGACAGCAAATAGAAGCTATCACGCTTTAGATTACAGAGATGTCACGGCAGGTTTGCCTTTTTTCCGGTTCGGGGGGAAAAAAACAAAACAAGAAAACTCTAAATAAAATCAATCTCAGAAAACAGAAGTTGTTCTGTTCGGGTTACATTTAACCGAAACAACCGGTTGGACTGGTCTGGTGTCGACAGAGGATGTGTAAACCATGAGTAATATTTCTGGCATCTCAAAATCCAGTTAGAGAAGATATTTGGGGAAATATCTCATAACAATGAGTGAATTTCATTTGAAATGGACGGAGTGAGGAAAAGCATCTGGTCCGTTTTTCAACCGAAACTCTTACATTTCAGATCAATGTTTAGACATAAGAAAGAAAAAACATCCTGCTTTAAAGTATGCAAACTCCTGCTGCTGATGGAGAATATAATTGAAAAGCATAAATCTTACTCTATGTGAAGAAATACTGTCTGCAAATCTAGAAATATTTTCTTTTCTTTTGACTAAAGCACTTCTGAATAATCTCAAGCATCAGTTTCTTGCTGCTATCTCGTGCCAGACCTGAAATCATATACATATATTCATTATCGTCTCTCCATCCACTCTGGCTTACAGTTTAGCCAAATGATTGGCAGATATTTAGTGTTTTCCAGCACCTACTATCAAATCCTTTGATGAAAAATATGTTAACCCCTTTTGCAAACTTTCACCATTTGAGGCCTATTTCTGGATATTGATTGAAATTTTAATACTTTTTCATCTTCTATTATAATTGTCATGTTCTGTTTTTTTTTTTTTTTTTTTTTATCAAACGCATTCAAAGTTCAGACAAATCAAAAAGCAGAGTCAGAAGCCGTCTAAACTATCCATACTTTCTCCCTTAAAGCAGCAAATAACTGAGCTGTTCAGGAGTCATTGGGAAAGACAAAGCCGAAAGCCGCAACCAGAGCGTGAAATGCCTTAAAATGCAGCCTTATCGTCGCTTCCTCCTGAGAGAAAACTGCCTCCGCTGTGGCTGTAAAGATGCTCGTTTCATATGAGACTCTTCATATTCAGCTTCATTTTGAGTCCATTAGGATGAAGAGTGTGGAGGCGACAGCTCCATTTGGGTTTTTCTCGGTGTGTTTTTATTATAAAAATCGCAGATATGCCCCCCTGCCACAGTCTGCACATTACTCCCGCTGCAACCCTTCCAGCTCGCATCAGTGGGTAAAAACGCTGTGGGTTCACGTCACTAAGGTTTTATGTCAGCCCTGAAATACGCTGCACCTCCTCCGTTTCCTCTGAAATAAAGCAGAGAGTCGCAGTGGGAATGTTACCTGATGGTGGGGCTAGAAAAACTCCATCCAACAATTTGTTTTCTCCTCTCCATGTGCAAACACATAATCAGGCACATTTGTAAAATCGGATGTCATCATTGCTGTTGCTCTTGTTAGAAGCAGGAATACTCTGGAGGGAATGGTAAACATGCTACTGATCTGATGCAACCCCCTCCTGCAGAGATGCTTCGCCGTTGAACTGATGGACACACGTCTGAGCTTCCGGCTGCAAATGGAGCTGAAAGCCTGGCCGTTGAGGCTCGATTGATTATTTTTTCCTCTTGGTTAAAGGCAGTGCAAACCCAGGGCCTGCTCGCGCACTGAGCACCAGGTGTCATTTCCCACTGTCACACATCACTGCATGTTTATATTACATGACTCAGCTGCAGTATGAATCATTGACGCATGTAGAAGAAAAACATGTGAGAAAGGATAAGGACCAGTGTCCTCCTTAGTTAAGTTAAAAAAAATAATTAGAAAAAGTTTTGTTTTTACTAATTGAATTCTAATTCAATTCAAAGCTCTTTGACTGTTCTTACTCTAACTTACTTTTCATGTTTTTCCAGTCCTAGCTTCGCCAGCATAGTGTATGCTGTAGGTAAAAAGTAGAGAAAATCCCATAAGAAACAAAGAAAAACTCACATCTTCCTTAGTAATAATCTCTTTCTTTAAAATACATACAATTTTTATTATTGTATGCAATTATTTGTCAAGATTATTAATACAGTTACATATAAAATAATGTTTTAATGGCACTCATTGAATCTTCAGGTTTATTAGCAGGTTCAGGCTTGTACTCATTTCCTCGATTACATCCAAAACAGGATTTTTTTTTTCCTACAATTTGTTGACAGCATAAAATCAGTTCTTAGACAGCATACCAAAAAAAAAAACTAAGTGCATAACAGACAATTTGTCAAAGACTCTTAACTTCAAAAGAGTTATTTTCTCTTTGCTTTCAAGTCTTCCCCTAAAACCAGTAAGTACAGGAACCAAAGTATATTTGGTACCCTATCCCAGTCAATCTGTACACCTTGAAGAATATTTTGGGTTTTCACCATGTTTTGTTGGTGTTAAATATTAGCTTTGTTAGATTTTGAAATGAGTTCTCACAGAGTTGTCTATTTAGAAGAAGAATTTTAACTTTGCTTTTATTTTGAAAAATGGAGAGCTACTTCCTTACTACACGTCAATAAACATTTTGAATTATTTCTCAATCATGTAAAGTAGTCATGTCAAGTTTTGAGAAAAATAAAATGAGCTTTTAACCGAATAATAGAACCTCTCCCTGGTTTAGTGTTCTATTGTACCGTTTCCATAATCAATCAATTTGCGCAACTATTTGTGCTTACTCTTAAGATCAGTGTTTGGAAACAACAAATGTTTTTATTAACTATAGCTGCTGTTATGCGACATCAGAGGGTTTTGAAAACTAGATTTTGCTTGGTTCATAAATGTAGACTCAAACTGTTTATTCTGTCATATATATCGAATAGTGTTTAACATGTTTTATCATATTTTGAAAGTCTACATACAATATTATATACGTTACATCATGGTTGAAACCACCTTTGAATAATTTATTCTGTGTTTAGTATGAGCCTAGCGTTATGGCTCTGTGTTTCATTTCCATTCTAATTATCTTAGACACTCTAGTTCATTAATATGTTATGGAAACAGGTGGAATTAGGACTCCAAATGATATCCAGGTTGAAACACTTAACATGAAAACATTTTCTGCACTTTGTTCCATATGTGTGTTATATGCTCTGGTTGTGTTAGACCAATGGCTAAAACCTCCTGTCAGTAAAGAGACGCACATTTGATCCTGTTACAAGTCGTTTGTGCTGCCGCGCCCTGGAGCAGGACTTTCAGCTAGACAGATAGAGGACAATAAAACACCGAAACCATTCAACCAATTAAAACCAGTGAGTCAGAGCGTGTTAATTTCCTGCAGACGGTGACACAGGCGTCATGCGATGGCAGGAGGACACTCAATGCCTTTATTGCTCGCATTCTTTACCTCTTTACATCCGGATTAAAGGCGTGAACAAGTGTGACTAATGAACGAGATCGCTATCTAACTGTAAAGCTGAACTCTGTTATTACTATTATTTTAGTGTTTTTTTTTTGCTTTCTGTCTGCAGCACAACACTCACTATTGTTACATCTGATAAATATAACTTCAGTTTACATATCTATAATATATCTAACCGCAGTCTTTATATACTAAGCTCCAAAACAATTATTTAAATATTCCAACTATTTGACACCCTCTTAAGGTAAGGTTATATGTAAACTTTCCTCGGCAAAAGCTGTTTAATGCTGCTTAGATTTATGGGTTTTGTCATTTAATCAAATCTGAAGGTTTTGTCAACAAATTAAGGCTTTCAAATGCAGAAGATAAATACATGTTATTACTTTGCATTACCCCATAGCAACCTGTTTATAGTAATTAAAGTCTAGTTCTATTGTTTCGTATAGGAGAAAAAAGTAACAGATTTTTTCCTCATGCCTCTACTCCTTTTCATTGAATCAGGAATAATTTAGAAATCAAAGCGTGACATTTCCAAAGATTTCCACCCCTGATGAATTAAATTTGGTCAGAAAGACACCAGCAGCCCCGTCCCTGTGTGCGCGTGTTAATCTGGATCAAACAATGGTCTTGAATGGAGTCATTAGAGTGAAACCCTTTGTGTTGAACAGCGAGGGGACCACACACACTCATCTCATCCGCAGTGCTTATTCTGTCCATTTGAGATCTGAAAACATCAAAGAATCTTTTGATTATCCACATGTGTGTGTGTGTGTGTGTGAAAGAGAGATGTTTAATCCAGGTTGGCAGCACAAAGAGACAGACGTTCATAACCTGGTTTTAAAACACTCACCATTGAGATTTTTTTTATTTTTTTTTCAAAACTGGTTTCCAGTTTGGCCGGGGGCCACCTGCTCCGAGGTGACAGATTGTCTTCCATAATAGTTGTCACAGTTTCATGGTGTGTAATTGGTCTCACAGCGTTGCCGAGCACATTAGTGCAATTAAAAGCGACACCGGGGATTATTCAGGCTTTTGTGTAACACAGATGACTTTCTGTCACGCTCACGCAGCTTCACTTTAAAGTGATTTTCTGCAGGAAAAAAAATGCTTCATTAATTAGCTAAAATAAACAGAAACTAACTTATAACCCTATATGAAAAAGGATGGGATTTATTTATAGCTTTTTCAGCTAGTTAATTTCACGTAAAGCAGATTTTTTTTCCTCCAAGGACGTTAACATTTAAAACAAGTTATTTTTCATTTATTCCAAAGAAAGATCTAATGCTGAAACCTCCTCTTTGGCTTTCTTTGGAAGA